AAAAAAAAAAAAAGGGCCAGGTGCAGTGGCTCACGCCTGTAATCCCAGCACTTTGGGAGGCTGAAAAAAAAAGATCACGAGGTCAGGAGATCAAGACCATCCTGGCTAACATGGTGAAACCTAAAAAAAAATAAAAATACAAAAATATTAGCTGGGCGAGGTGGCGGACGCCTGTAGTCCTAAAAAAAAAGGAGGCTGAGGCGGGAGAATGGCGTGAACCTGGGAGGCGGAGCTTGCAGTGAGCCGAGATTGTGCCACTGCACTCCAGCCTGGGTGACAGAGCAAGACTCTGTCTCAAAAAAAACAGATTGAAACACACCATATTTAAATTAAAAGCTGAAGCTGGTGTGGTGGTACGTATCTTTAATCCCAGCTACTCAGGTTGCTGAGGCAGAAGGATACCTTGAGCCCAGGAATTTGAGTCCAGCCTGGGCAATACAGCGAGACCCCATCTCAAAACAAAATAAAATTGGTGTAAAAAAAAAAAGGTTAAAAGTTACAAGGCAAGACCCAGACTGGGAGAAGATATTTGCAAAAAAAAAAATCATTAAAGAGTTAGTATCCAAACACAAGAAAGAGCTCCTTTAAGTCAGAAAAAAAAAATGGAAGAAAAACGTGAAAGTCCATGACAGGGCCATTAATCTTTCATGTAACAAATGGGCCAGGTGCTGTGGCTCATGCCTGTAATTCCAATACTTTGGGAGGTTGAGGCAAAAAAAAAGCTTAAAGCTAGGAGTTCGAAACCAGCCTGGGCAACAAAGTGAGAGACCCTGTCCCTACAAAAATAGTAATTTTTAAAAATTAGCTGGGCGAGGTGGCACATATCTTTAGTCCCAACTACTTGGGAGGCTGAAGCAGGAGGATCTCCTGAGCCCAGGAGCTTGAGGCTGCAGTGAGCCATGATCACGCCACTGCAGCTTGGGGGAAGAGAATGAGACCCCATTTCTAAAAAACAAGATAAAAATGCTACCATGGCTCTTACGATATGGCGGGTGTTATTTTAAACAAAAAAAAAATGTTAGCTCTTTCATTGTCATAGCAAGCTTAGGGTATAGGTACTGTCATTAAAAAAAAATACAGGTGAAGAAAGGGAAGCAAAGTCAAGTGACTTGCCCAAGGTCACACAGCTAGAAGGTAGGGGGAGTCAGGGCCCAAACCCAGGCCAAAAGGCTGCAGAGTCTCTGCCCATAAGCACCGTGTTAGGCTGCAGTTCTCTGAGGAGGGAATTCATACACAAGGGCAAAAAAAAAAACTCCGTTTGGGAATTAGAGAATTGCAAAGAAAAGCAAGGTATCAGCCAGGCGCAGTGGATCACACTGTAATCCCAGCACTTTGGGAGGCCGAGGTAGGTGGATCACAAGAAAAAAAAATCAAGACCAGCCTGGCCAAGATGGTGAAACCCCATCTCTACTAAAAAATAAAAAAAAAAAGCTGGGCGCGGTGGCAGGCGCCTATGATGCCAGCTACTCGGGAGGCTGAAAAAAAAAAATCGCTTGAACTCGGAGGGCGAAGGTTGCAGTGAGCCAGGATCGTACCACAAAAAAAAAGTCTGGGCAAGAGAGTGAGACTCCGTCTCAAAAAAAAAAAAAAGAAAAGAAAAAAAAAATTTTTACTCATCCAGTTGGCAAACGTAAAAGATTACTAATCACTTTGGGAAAAAAAAAAGGGTGGGTCACGAGGTCAGGAGATCGGGACCATCCTGGCCAATATGGTGAAAAAAAAAATCTACTAAAAATACAAAAATTAGCTGGGTGTGGTGGCGGGCGCCTGTAGTAAAAAAAAATCAGGAGGCTGAGGCAGGAGAATCACTTGAACCCAGGAGGCGGAGGTTGCAAAAAAAAAAGATTGCGCCACTGCACTCCAACCTGGCGACAGAGCAAGACTCCGTCTCAAAAAAAAAAAAAAAAAAAGATGCTAATATTCCTGTGTGAGGCTTTAGAAGGGGTGACTGCAAAAAAAAATTGGAAATGCATATAAATTGGTAGAACCTTCCTAAAGGACACTACCTATTACAATAAGAAGTGCCCAGTCCTTCCCCTCAGGAGTCCCACCCTGCATGGAAGCACAGGAAAAAAAAAAGAGTGAAAATCAGGAGACAATCGAAATTAATTTGAGGCCAATTTCTGATGAAAAAAAAATTCATCTATAAATGTGGATATTTCTAAAAGATGCCCTCCAGGGGCGTGGAAAAAAAAAAACTGTTCCAGTCTATCCTGCCCAGCTTTCCCCAGCTTTTCCTCACCTTTCCCCAGGCCCTGGTCTAGCAGACAGACCCCAGGCTGCCTGGGCCTTGGCACTAGGAGGACAAGCATCTCAGCGGGCCCAGTCCCCTGCCACGGCTGCCCTTGTCCCCTCTGAGCTGCATAAAAAAAAAACAGGGGACAGGCGGCAGTATGGACATGGAAATAAAGGCCCCCTTTACTAGGAGAAAAGGTCTGTGGCCCGCACCTAGAATAGCACTGCTCTAAGCCATAGGACAGAGTAAAAAAAAAACAAGTTGCAGAAAATACACGTAATCCCATTTATGTTTACAAAATAAGAAAAAAAAAAACACAAGCCAGCGCAGGAGACTTGCCTACCCCGGGGAGCAGTGACCTGTAGGTAGAGAAAAGCAAGATTGAAGATTATGGACAGAAAGGTTTTGCTTTGTGTTTGAAAATAAAAAAAAAAGGGTATATTTTACTTGTATAATTTAAAACTTTTAAGAGGCCAAGCCTGGAAAAAAAAAAACAACAATATAAATAATGATCGTTTTGATTTATAACCCACGGAATAGCAAAAAAAAAAGGGAGTCCATAATGACATAAATAATTGAATTAATTGATGGAGAAGGGACAAAAAAAAAATACAGAAAACGTCAGTCAATACGCTGGGCATGGTGGCTCACGCCTGTAATAAAAAAAAATTCAGAGGCCGAGGTGGGTGGATCACTTGAGGTCAGGAGTTTGACACCATCCTGGCCAATATGGTGAAACCCCGTCTCTACTAATAATACAAAAAAAAAATTAGCCGGGCATGGTGGTGCGTGACTGTAATCTCAGCTACTTGGGAGGCTGAGGCATGAGAATCATTTGAACCCGGGAGGCGGAGGTTGCAGTGAGCCAAGATCATGCCATTACACTTCATCCTGGGAAAAAAAAACAAACTGTGTCCAAAAAAAAAAAAAAAAAGGGAGGGAGGGGAGAGGGGGAAAAAAAAAAAAAGAAAATTCCAGTCAATAATGTAGGAAAAGGGGTGACAGAAATCACCATCAGGCAAATTCCGCAGTCTTATTTGTAATAGGCAAGCTGCAGCCCTGAGTGTTGCGGTAAAAAAAAAGGGACATGTTTGAGGGAAAACAGAATATTTGTCTAATCTCAAGTATTTTCAAAAAAAAAGTTTATTAATTACAAACAGAAAAACAGTAACCTTACAGGGGAGAAACGCAAAAAAAAAAGTCAGGCGATGAGGTTAACGTCACCAGTAACGAGGCTAACAGACAACACGAAAAAAAAATAGGGTGCGCTGAGGCGCGGAACTTCCATGACATCCCTCCAAAGATGTGCAACTCCCTACTCATGAGAAAAACGTGAGACCAACCCAAATGGAGAGACATTTTGCACAGAAAAAAAAACTTCAAAAGTGTCAAGTTTATGAAAGACACACAGATTGAGGGACTGTCACAAAAAAAAAGAGACAAGGAAGACAGTTTAGCTAAATGCAGTGTGAGATCCTGGAACAAAAGGCCAGGAATGGAAAAACTCGTGATGTTCAAATTAGGGTAATTGTTTAGTTAATGGTAAAAAAAAAATGTTAATCTTCTGGTTTTGATCATTGAACTATGGGGCCGGGCGCAGTGGCAAAAAAAAATAATCCCAGCACTTTGGGAGGCTGAGGTGGGTGGATCACTTGAGCCCAGGAAAAAAAAACCAGCCTGGGTAACATGGCAAAACCCCATCTCTACTGAAAATACAAAAAAAAATTATCCGGGCTTGATGCTGCATGTCTACAGTCCCAGCTACTCTGGAAGCTAAGGTAAAAAAAAAATCTTGAGCGCAGGAGGCAAAGATTGCAGTGAGCCAACGTCATGCCACTACAAAAAAAAATGGGCAACAGAGCCGAGACTCTATCTCAAAGAAAAAAAAAAAAAGATAATAAAAAAAAAAGTATGTACAATGTTAGCATTAGGGGCAGCTAGCTGAAAGGTATAAAAATAAAAAAAAACTCTTTTTGCAACTTTTTTGTACATCTAAAATTACTTCACAACTACAAAAAAAAAAAAAGAGTCTGGAACTGCAGGACTACCAGCCCCCTCTTCCCTCCTCAGTGCAGTGAGAGCTGTGGCCAGTGCCTAGATGGGGGCTGAAAGCGGAACAGAATCCTACCAGCAGCAAAAAAAAACTAGAACATCTTGGCTCTTTAGGGAACTTGATTAGATGCCAAAAGAAAAAAAAAAAAAATTAAAGGTTATTCCTTAACTTAGAAATATAAGTAGTCAATGCCAGGTGTAAAAAAAAAACTACCCTGGGTTATATGACGGTAAGTTAAATACTAATGACAGGTATTGAGAAAAAAAAATGGAGGAAGACTCAGGCACAGACACAGTACAGTCACAGTCCTTTCCCCATAAAAAAAAATTAAGCCCTTTATTGAGAGAGAATTAATATACCACACAATTCACCCAACAAAAAAAAAACAATTCAGTGACTTTTATAGATTCACAGGGTTATGTAACCATCACCACAAAAAAAAAAAGAATGTTTTCCGTGTCCTTGAAAGAATCCCTTAGCCATTGTACCCTATTCAAAAAAAAACTCCAATCCTAGGCAGCCTCCAGTCCACTCTCTATATCCATAGGTTTGCCTGTTCTAAACACTTTCGAGAAAGGGAATCATGCAATATGTAGTCTTTTATGATTGGCTTAAAAAAAAAAACACAATGTTTTTAAAGTTCATTCATGTTATGGCATGCATCAGTACTTCATCCCTTTTTATTGCCAAATAATAGTCCATTGTGTGGCTATACCACACATTTATCCATTAAAAAAAAAATAGACATTTGGGTTGCTTCCGCTTTTTGGCTATTGTAGATAATGCTAATGTGAACATGATTGATGTACAAGGTTTCATGTGGCCATAAGTTTTCATTTCCCTTTGGTAAAAAAAAAAGAGTGGAGCTGCTGAGTCATGTGGTGACTCTATGTTTAGCCTTTGGAGGAATGGCCAGACTGTTCTCCAAAGCAGCTTGCACCATTTTACATTCCCACCAGCGATGTATGAGGGTTCCAGTTTCTCCACATCCTCATCAACACTTGCTATTATCTTTTAGCCATCCTGATGGGTGTACAGTAGTATCTTGTGGTTTTGATTTGCATTTTCCTGATAGCTAAGGACACAAAAAAAAAGTCATTTCTGAGATTTGCCAGATGTGTTCAGCACTGGTGTCCCCTCCTTGAAAAAAAAATGTGACTACAAACTTACAAGCTTGGGGACTATCGAGAATGACTGGGCATTGGGTTCTCAGGGCTCCAGAGCCATGGTCCTTTTGAAGAGCCTGAATCAAGGTATGGGGCTCTGGAGAGTTCTGTGTGTGCTTGTCACAGGGGTCTTGTTTATTCAAAAGACCCAACAGAAAAAAAAAACCCCTTGTTCCTCTTCCTCTCCCAGGAGGTCCAGATGGTTCCTGTGACTAAAAAAAAAGTAGCAGCATCAGTGTCTTCACTGCAGCCAGGTAAGTGGCTTGTTTCAGCCAGAGGGTTTGTGGAAAGCAAGTGACCTAGATCTTTCCTGGATGCAGGAGACTACAGCAATGACCCAAAGCAAACCCTACTCGCGGCTGCTGCTTTTGGGACACCCTTGTACACAAAAAAAAAAAAAGATGAGGGAATCTGAAGGACATTGAGCAAGCCCACCCCCCCAGGCTGGATAAAAAAAAAAGGTGGATTAGAAGCCATTGGGGGCCAGGCATGATGGCTTACGCCTCTAAAAAAAAAAATTCGGGAGGCCAAGGTAGGCAGATCGCTTGAGCTTGGGAGTTCAAGACCAAAAAAAAAAACATGGCGAGACCCTGTTTTTACTGAAAATACAAAAAATTAGCTGGGCGTGGTGGCGTGTGCCTGTGGTCCGAGCTAGTTGGGGAGGCTGAGGTGGGAGGATCACTTGAGCCAGAGCAGGGCAGAGGTTGAAGTGAGCTGAGATCACACCACTGTACTCTATCCTGGAAAAAAAAAAGAGACCATGTCTGGGGAAAAAAAAAAAAAGAATGAAAGAAAATGGATTGTTCTTACTTATTTTTAAATATTAAAAAAAAAGTAAGCTATTGGAGGTCAATAAACGCAAGAAAAAAAAATTGTAATAATAAAAGTACAGCTAATACCAGTGACTGCAGTGAGACACTTAAAAAAAAAATGACTTAGCACCGTCTGTTTGTCCAGGATGATGTGGGGCCAACAAGACCGAAAAAAAAAAGTCTGTTCAAGGAAGGGGAAGTCTGTTCAAGGACAGCCTGGAGCATGGGAAAAAAAAAATCACATCCAAGATTAAGGATAAATCACAGGCCCCAGGAGCTGTTGTCCCAAAAAAAAAAGGTCAGCTGTAATGGTGCAGTCTTCCACATGGGGGCAGTGCAGGCCAGGAAAAAAAAAAACTCTCTTCCTTGCAGCTCCCTCCATACTCCCTGCAAGGTGAGGGGACTCCCCGGGGAAGGCACTGTCACAGTTCCGCCCTGGTCTGAGTCCTCTGGACTTGCCCCATAAAAAAAAATCTTTGGGTGGCATTGGCATCTCTGGGGCTAGAGTGGATGGTGGGTCTTAAAAAAAAAATTCTTCCCCCTGAACTTGACAGTGAACCTGGGCCCTGGGAGAGCCAGTCACTCATGAAGAGAAAAGGTGCACTCTCCCCCAAGAGCTTCTCCCCACAGACCCCTAGCTAAAAAAAAAACCTCGTCGATACCATTTGTGAACTTACCTCATCCCTCGACACCCTGAGCAAAAAAAAAAAGCACGCAGGTGCAGCCGATGATGAAATGTGCCCCTACGAGCCCCTGCATAAAAAAAAAAGATCAGTGAATGTCACCATTCTCTCGTGTTCATGTAGTCACGCGTTCCAGTGCACCTGCCTGTGCTCACCCCTGCAGGCTCCAAGATAAGAGCTGGCCCCTGAGTGTGTCCCTGACCTTCATTCATTTACTCTAGTGGTGAGGCAGAGAAGCAGCCAGGAAGTTACTAAAAAAAAAAGCGACTGATGTGAGGGGTGAAGTTACTGGAAAGGGAGGGCCATGGTGCCAAAAAAAAAGCACTGAGAAGACTGGCTGGGAATAACAGCTAATGCCAGTCAACGCAGCCAAAAAAAAAGGGCCCCAGTGCAGTGCTAAACCTTCATGTCGGATCCTTTAGCTTTGTCTGAGTCCCGTGGGGTCAGTAGTTTCATGGTAGGGACGAGAAGGGAGGGAAGCACAGGGGGCTGCTCTGTGGACAGTGGATCTAGGAGGGGCCTGGTGGATGCAGACCTGCTAGGGAGCTAAAAAAAAAGTCCCCATCAGAGGGGATGGGGGCTCAGGCTGGGGAGGAGCAGCATATGGAAAAAAAAAGGTGGGTTTGGGCTCCGTGTTGAAGGTGGAACTGCAGAATTCACTGCTGGAAAAAAAAAGGTAGGCAGGAGAGAGGTGAGGGAAAGACTGCCTTCTAGAAATTTCATGTAAAAAAAAACCCGGCTATCCTGATGTCATTTGCACACCAGGGCTGGAAGGAAGAGCAGGTGTGGGTGGGGTGGTCAAGAGCTCTGTTCCAGGTGACTGAGCATCCCAGGAGGAGGGAGGCAGACTCAGGTACTGGGCCATGGAACTCGGGGAGTGGTCTGGACGGACACGCGGGGACAAAAAAAAACTGCAGAGGGCTTAGCTTTTGCGCTGGAGGCTGTGGAGACAGTATCACAAAAAAAAAAAGCAGGATCCGATCTGGGATTTAAAAGCCTCCCTCTGGCAGCCAAAAGCCTAAAAAAAAATTGTCTCTGTAATCTGGCCTATGAGGATTAAGGGGGAGGTCAGGGGAAGTAAAAAAAAAGGCAGAGGTAGGCTTAAGCCATGGGCTGCAGAGGGGCACTGCTGTCCACTGCCTCGCTGGGGAGACTGCGCTACCGTTGGCTGGGATGAGCCTACAGGAGCCCTCAGTTCTTGTGCCAAGGCCGGGGACCGCTAGACTGGAACCAGGGTTTTGGTTTATACCTCTCATAAAAAAAAAGATGCCAAATCCTACCTAAACTCCAAACCATCCTACCTAAAAAACCAAACAAAAAAAAATGATCTAGTGCTTCCTGACTCCTGGTTACAGAGGTCCCCACGTGGCAGCTGCACAGTCAGCATCACCAGCTGTGCTCAAGAGGTGGGCGCCTTCAGAGTTGTAAAACCAAAAAAAAAATACCCGGGCCCCAGCGCACCACCTTCTTCCCACAGCTGGTGTTAACAGTGAGACTGAGCTTGGACACAGGTGGGATGGTGCAGGGTCGCCAGATAGCCAGACCCACCCAAAAAAAAAATGTCACACACACACCAAAAAAATGCACATCCACATGAAATTCAGAATTCAAAAAAAAAAGTTCAAGGATCACCATGGAAGCAATCCTTGCATCCCAGATTTTTTATAAAAAAAAAAAAATTTGGACCAAAACACAGGGAGAATTAACTGGCTAAACCTGAGAGCAGAAGCCTTCCTCTTCCCCCTCCCTCATCTCCCCTCTCCCTGTGATACTGGAGAAGCCCCTGGTGGCCCCAGGCTTAGCCACGGAAGAATGTCACCTGGAAAAGCAGCGGGTGACGACATGGAAAAAAAAAGGGTTCCTCCACCCTCCAGAGCATGGGAAATACATGGGAGGTGGAAAATTAAAAAAAAAAGGGAGAGGTGGAAAGTGAAGGAAGCAGGATGGAGGAAGGATGCTTGCCAGCTCAGGAAAGGGTTAAGAGAGAAATGTCTCCACTGGGTGTGTTCTCTCTCGTGACTGCAAAAAAAAATGGAGCCAACTGTCCGGATTCACGCCCTAACTCCAGCATGCCTGGCTGAGAAAAAAAAAAAGTAGCATTTCCCCCACCTCAGTTTCCTCAGCTTTAAACTCAGTGTAATGATAGCACTGACCCCAAAGGGATATGGGACTTCAACGAGTTAAAGTATGTAAAGAACAGAAAAAAAAAGTGGCTCACGCCTGTAATCCCAGCACTTTGGGAGGTGAAGGCAGGCTGGTAAAAAAAAACCAGGAGTTAGAGACCAGCCCAGGGCAACATGGTGAAAGCCCGTTTCTACAAAACATACAAAAATGAGCTGGGTGTGGTGGCACATTCCTGTAGTTCCAGCTACTCAGGAAAAAAAAATGGAAGGATCATTTGAGCCCCGGAGCTCGAGGCTTCAGTGAGCCGTGATTAAAAAAAAACACTCCTGCCTGGGTGACAGAGCAAGACCCCACTCCTGCCTGGGTGACAGAAAAAAAAACTGTCTCAATAATCATAATTTTTAAAAGCTTTTTAAGTGTGTCAAGAACAAAAAAAAAAGCCTGGGCCGCAGAAAGCACTTTACACATTTGAGCTACAATTGTTATTACAAAAAAAAAGTTATTATCCCCATCTTACAAATGAGGAAACAGACCCAGAGAAGTTAACTTCTTGCCCGAAGTCACTCAACTAATTAGTAGCCAAGTTGGAATTCAAGCTAGATCTGTCTGACTCCAGAGCCCATGCATTCAACTTTATTAGTTGCAGTTGGAGAGTTCCAGAAGTTTAAAAAAAAACCTCCCTAACTCATTTGATTTAGTAGTTCTCAAACAAGTGTTGTATGAACAAAAAAAAATATGATGCTCAGGCTGTTGCCAAGGGTCATGATGTCTTCAGTGACACCAGTTCTCCCGGTGTAGCTAGCTGCCGTGTAAATAAGCAGGCAGAAAGTTCTAGAAATCAGTAAAAAAAAACTTTTAGCCTCTGCTGATTGAAAAAAAAATTATAATTATCTGCATTTTAAAAAAAAAAATCAATTTCAGAAGCAATTCTATTTTTAGATTTACCTTTCTTCTATTTTTAAAAAAAAAATTCTTCTGATTTGATTAGAGATGTAACCCGAACACCGTAAAAAGTTAGACAAAAAAAAAATGAAGTGCTGTCTCCCAGAGAGAACAACTGGAACGTCTTATTATTTATTAAAAAAAAAAGAAGCCTTATTCAGTAAATCTATATTTTAATAGCCACAGCAGCGCCATGAAAAAAAAAATTGTAGTGCGTGTATGTGTAAGACATTCATTATAAGATGTTTTATGAGAAAAAAAAAAATGAAAATGGAATTTTGCAGACACCTTGAAATAACTCAGAAGCCCCCATGAGTGACTCGTCTAGACTTTTTGGAACTGATGCAGAAATGTCTTTTAAACTGAGTGAGCTCCCTCTGTTCTTGATGGGTAAGGTAAGCAAGGACAGCAGGGTGCTACCTCTCAGGCTCCAAAAAAAAAGCTGGGGAACTGAGCACATCATGCAGTGTCCCCCTCTAGGAAGAGTACAGAAAAAAAAAGCCCCAGTTGCCCTGCTGAGCACGCGCAGAGCTCAGCAGCAGCAGCCAACAAAAAAAAACAGAGCAGCTGGGAGCTGATGGCAGCTGGGATCTTGACCCTCCCTTTCCCAGGCACTCAGATCAGTCTGCCTGGTCCTCTAGGGTCTACCTGCTTCCCATGACCTCCACAAAAAAAAAGGCAAGGGAGGAAAAGCCCAGGGAGAGTGTCTCCAGCCCAGGGAATGAGTAAAAAAAAAATGGCCTCATGGTCTCAGATGGGTCCCGTACTGCCTCTGGACCTGGGCTTGCTCATCTGTGCCTTGAAGGATTGTGTTACCTGAACCGTGAGGTCCCTTTCAGTGATGAAAAAAAAAATGGGTGCGGCGGGACTGCCTCAGCAGCAGCCTGAAGATGCCCCATACCTTAAAAAAAAATGTGTTCAGGTGTTTGCTGTGGAGAAAGTCAGAGAATGCTAATACACGAAAAAAAAAAAGTTCACATACCAGTTCCGTGACATGCTGCCATTCTTTGGCCCTGACACAGCACCACTTGCAGGAGAGGCCCCATGGGCTGGCCAGCAGCATCTCCGGGCCACTGTGAGCAAAAAAAAACGACTTGCGGAGGGGCCATCCAGCCCGGCGTCTTGGCTCTTTTGGATTCTGAGTGTGCCCTGCGCAGGTGGGGAGCACCAGGCTTTCCTCTGTCTCCCCTTCTTTTTCTAAAAAAAAACTTTTTGGTACAGGGTCTTGCTCTGTCATCCAGGCTGGAGTACAGTGACAAAAAAAAAACTCACATAGGTGAGCTGACAGCTGGGAGCTGGCAGCAGCTGGGATCTTGTAAAAAAAAAACCTCAGCCTCCCACGTGGCTGGGACCATAGGAGTGTGCCACCACACCCAAAAAAAAAATTAAATTTTTCACAGAGACAGGGTCTTGCTGTGTTGCCCAGGCTGGTCTCAAACTCATGACCTCAAATCATCCTCCTGCCTCGGCCTCCCAAAGTGCTGGTATTTCAGGAAAAAAAAACTGTCTACCCTTCTGACTCGAAAATAAGCTGAAAAGTGTGTACTAATCTTAAAAAAAAACCTGGAGCTGCCAGGTATCCCCTGGGCTCAGAGGGGCTGGTCCACACAGGAAAAAAAAATCTGCTGCTCCTCCCAGGAGACAGTGGAGGCGATGCCACCAGGGACTCTCTCGGAGCCTGCTGCCCTGGTCAGGAGCCTGTGCCATGTGGCAGATAAGATTATTCTGGAGTCAGACTGATCAGATCCAAAGTGCGGCCCCACCACTCCCTGGCCGTGTAACCTTGGGCAAAAAAAAACATGTCTGTGTGCTTCAGTTCCCTCTTCTCTGAAATGGAAGTGGTGTGCCAAAAAAAAAAAGGCTTTTTAAGGAGTGACATGAGGCTGTGTAGGAAAGCACCCAGCAGAAAAAAAAAACACAACCGTCATGGCTGCCATTGTTATCACAGCTATTATTCCCCCAGAGGAAAAAAAAAACCACTGATCCTGTCCCATGCCGGTGGAGCAGGGGACCTGGTCATGGCACAAAAAAAAACACCAGCAGCTCCAGGGCAGTCCCAGGTCTCCCAGGGAAACAAGGAAAAACAAGGCCGTCCTCCCAGGGGGTGCTGTTTCAGCTAAGCTTGTCGCAGTGATGGGCCAGGAAAAAAAAATTGTGACACCCTGGACCCTGGCAGCCTACATGTCCCTGTGGCTCCTGCTGAAAAGGGGCTCACTACAGACTTTGGGGCTCTCAGGGTCAGGAAAGACCGGGTTGGGGGTGGAGGTAGCTTCTGTTCACCTGCTTTGCATACGGCCTTGGGCTATAGGGAGGCATCTCTAAAAAAAAAAGGACACGAGACCAGAGGAGCTTCTCTAGCCCGGGGATTCTGCCGGCCCAAAAAAAAAATGGAACAGAACGCAAGGGAAGGAGCCCTGCGGGAGGCCAGCCAGGACAGGAAAAAGAGGGACTGGGAGATAAAACAGTAAATACTGGCCATCAGCTAAGGGAGTAGCTAGGAAACTGCCAGAGATGACAAGAAAACACTCAGAAAGTCCTGGCGTGGACTGCTGTGTGGGCCTCTGCGGCAGCCACATGGCTACTGAGTGCCTGGTGGCTACTCTGAAGCGAGGTGCAAAAAAAAAGTGAAATGCACACCAGGTCCCAAAGGCTTAGGACACAAAAGAGAATATGTAAAAAAAAAAATATTTATATTGACCGTAGATACACTGGGTCAGTTAAAACATAGCATTGAAAAAAAAATCACCTGTTTCTTTCTCCTTTTTAATTGCAAACTGGAAGATGTAAAATTAAAAAAAAAACTGGCGTTGTATTTTTCCGGGACAGTGGTCTTGAGAGAAACTAAGAGATTAAAAAAAAAAGTGTTTACCACCCTAGACTCCTCTACCTGCGCAGTACTGTCCCCGTCTGAAAAAAAAAAGCAAAGATTTAAATGTTTCGGTATCCTCAGAAGACGCCAGGAACTTCCAAAAAAAAAAGGATAGATGTGCCCACTCTTGCCCCTGAAACGTGCACCATGGGGATCATCAAAAAAAAATAAATAGCAATTCCTCTTAGCAATTACAGAGCGCAGAATCGTGCCCTTTAAAAAAAAAAATCAAATGAGCTTCAGAGAGGCTGCAGGCGAGTGAGGAAAGCACAGCCATAAAAAAAAAATGCAAATGAATAATTGAGCAGCCTAGAAATGCCACAGAAGAGACCGTTTAAAAAAAAAACGGGACTGATCTGCTGGCCCAGGTCCTCAGGAAATGCAGCCCCTGGCCTGCACCTGTCGGCACCGTTTGGGAAGTACAGTGCAGTGCCTTGGTAGGAAGGGAGCCCCTCCCCGACATCCTGAGGTTTTTCTACCCATGCTGCCCCCGCCTTGAAAACCCAGCCTGTGCCAGGGAGCAGTGCTTTGGGCAGAAAACCAACTCATAGCCTCCCAGCAGCACCCGCCGTCCCGCAGGCTGCTTAGCAGGACTTTGGGGACCTGCAGGGCTTCAGTCCACAGAAGCCAGAAAAAAAAATGTGCCCACCAGAACACAAGTACATCCTGAACAGTATCAGTTTCTCATAGAAAAAAAAACTGTCACCCCTTCCGCAATGCAAAGGAGCACATTTTGGTCTCAACTCTCAAGGCGTCTCTCTTAGACGCCTTGGGGCAGGGTACAGTGACAAGGCACAATGACAAGCCTAAAAAAAAAACCTCACTCGAGAAACATCCTTCAGGTGGCCGGTGAAGGGCCTGGTGGAGAAAAAAAAATGTTATCGGGACCTTCCCTCATATAGTCTGGACCTGGTGGTTTTGTTTTTAAAAAAAAAGGGTGTGAACTTAATGCCCTGAGCCTGGTCATGTCAGCTCAGTGACTCGGAAAAAAAAACTCCTCCTGTACGAGCCAGGCTGGTGCTGGAGAAAGAAAAGGAAAAGTGAGTGGGAGCCCAGCAGACCGGTCCTCATCCCCTAAACATGGTTATCATGGTTCCAACCCAAAAAAAAAATCCAAACTCCTTTGGAAAGGGAGAGAGAGAAGCCCCCTTCAAACGCCCAGAAAAAAAAAAGCTGGGCTGGTGGGAGACCAGCAAGGATGTGTGGGGATCGGGTCATCCCAAAAAAAAAAGCCCCCCGGACAGTGGTTAGCAGTGTGCGATTCAGGATATGCAGGCCCAGGGTGGTGCCATGACTCCGTGGGAGAGGGCTATGGTGGGCGTCATCTCTGCTCTCCCTCCCGGTCTTACCCACAGCACTGAAAGAGCCCCAGTGACCCTTCACCTCGACGGGATTGTGAAAAAAAAAAACTGCCACCTCAGTGACACGGCCATTGGGATGATGACCAGGATTGCAGTTCTCAAGTGGCTCTACCACCTCTACATCAAAACTCCTCGGAAGGTGAGCCCCGGGCCCCAAAAAAAAAGGGGCCTCTTCCGGGTCCGCCTTGGTTTTCCAGGGCCTGCCCATGGTTAGAAAAAAAAAGGTCATTGCACTTCTAAGGAAACCCTGGCTGGCAGAGAAGTGACAGGTGCAAAAAAAAACCCTCGTTGTGTCGGGGAGGGAAGTGGTCTGTGCAGACCAGCGGGTCCATAAAAAAAAACGGGACACTGCACCGAGCACAGACCTGGGGTGAAGGGAGCGCTCACAGGCACCCCTGCTTCTCTGCTCTCCAGATGTTCCGGCACACAGACAGCCTCTTTCCCATTCTAAAAAAAAAACTATCGGATGAATCGGATGAGGTAGGTCACCAACGCCACCCATCCTTATGAAAAAAAAACTGCCCTGCCTCCCCTTGTTAGTGACTGATGGGCTCTTAGAGCTGAGATAAAAAAAAAATGGTGCAGTGCATCCTTCCTAGAGGTAAAGCTGTGTTTAATACACACTTTAAAAAAAAACGCAGTGGCTCACACCTGTAATCCCAGCACTCTGGGAGGCCAAGGCGGGTAAAAAAAAAGAGGCCAGGAGTTCGAGATCAGCCTGGCCAACATGGTGAAACCCTGTCTCAAAAAAAAATACAAAAATTAACCAGGCATGGTGGTGCACACCTGTACTCCCAGGTGCTCAAAAAAAAAAGGTGGAAGAATTGCTTGAACTCAGGAGGCAGAGGTTGCAGTGAGCCAAGAAAAAAAAACCGCACTCCCGCCTGGCGACAGAGTGAGACCCTGTCAAAAAAAAAAAAAAAAAAAAAAAAACTCACTTTAGGACTGAGGACTCATCTGTAGACCCTTCTGGAGCACATGAAAAAAAAATCAGTGAGGGAGGCAGCAGAGGACAGGCAGGGAGCTTGGCTTGGGGTCAGAAAAAAAAAAGGCAAGACACTTAGTATCTCCACATCTCAGCATGTCAGTTTTCCTCTGTTCAGTGAGGGCAGTAACCAGAGGGGGATGTGAGAGGAAAATGATCCATGTAAAATGCTTAAAAAAAAACCAGGCTCCTGCTGCACACTCAGTGTTGGTTGTGTTACTGATTTCAGCTGAAAAAAAAAATGACCTCTAGTTTGAAATTAGACCCTTAAGCTTTGCCTTTTTGGGGCCACCAAGAGCTGCTGGTGCAGAGGGAAAGGCTGACCCAGATCCCAGGCAGCAGGAGTGAGCCCTCTGAGAAAGCTAGAGTAGTACAGAGGCTGGCCTGGGAGGTGGAGGGGGCACCTGGGTCTTCCTGTCATCTGGGCGAGAGTCTGCCCCAGCCACACACACCTTTCCGCACACCATTAAAAAAAAAGCCCATTGTGTGGTGTTCCTTTACGGGGTTCCCCTGCCTCCCAGCCAAGCAAAAAAAAATGCAGTCGCGCGTGCCCATTGCACAGCAGCATCCCATCCCTCCATACCAGAAAAAAAAACAGCATCTCAGATGCTGACGGTCCAAGCTGAGCATCAGCCCACTTTCCTCAAAAAAAAACCAAGGCACTGTGAGCTGTGGGCAGAGCTGTATCTCCATGAGGCAGCCAGCTCATGAATCAACAGACCGGCCCACGCTGCAGAGCGGACAAGGCTAGGTGGGGGGACTGGGAAGGGGGCTATTGCTCACCATTCTCCATGGAGTGAGGCTCCTCGGTCTTCCCTAGGCTGGTGCCAGGCTTGTGGGGGGCCCGGGCAGCTGTCTTGCAGCCTGAATTTGCTTTCCTGAAAAAAAAATGAAGAGAGAAATGGACAGGCAGGTATCAGCCTCTAGGTCCTCTGAGGTTAAAAAAAAAACCAGAAAAATCCAAAACAGATGGTCTGTGAGTATGCCCTTGGCCTCTCTAAAAAAAAACCCCCCCGCCCCCATGCACACACACACACCCCCCCTCTCTTCCTGCGCCAAAAAAAAAAGTGCGAGGCCCAGGTGGACGTGGCCCCGTTCTGCCTGCGAGTTGGGAGTGACTCACTGCACAGTCACAGCCCTCATTTCAATACAAAAAGGAAGAGCAGGACTTTGCTGAAAAAAAAATTCCCCAGGACTTCACTGGAAGCAGCTGAGTTTTCAGTCCTTTAAATTGAAAAAAAAAATCCCATCCAGCTTTCTGTGCTTGAAATTGGTTTTTGTGTGCGTGTGCATTAAAAAAAAACGGGCGGAGATGCAGTCCATTAAACAGCGCTCTTCAGGCTGCGGCTGTGGAAACTCGATTTGCTGAAGTGCCAAATGTTGTCAGGGCTTTGGGGCACGTCTTGTGGGCCAAAAAAAAAGAGGGCATGGAAGCCGCTCTGGGGGACAGTTGAGGGGTACCATAACAGCGAAAAAAAAACCCTGCTTCCCCTTCTCTCTAGAGGAGGGATTTGGGGACCTTAATCATCAAAAAAAAAACCTGATTCTACCCCATCCTGGTTCCTTTCCAGAATCACATTCCTAAGTGTCCCCTGTTTAATCTTTGGTGAGCCTGAGGGTGTGCTGTGTACTTGGCAATGGGAATACAAAAAAAAAAAAGACAAAGCCCATCTTCTCCTGAAACTTCCTTTCTAGGATATCTAGAAAAAAAAAAAACGGGATTTTTCAAACATTTCCAAACAGCCCTGATCTCGAATTGGAGCTCCCTGGGATTCAAGACTATGAAAGCCTGTTTGGTCAAGCAGGAACACAGCCAGACAGGCAGAAAAAAAAATACTGAAGTCCTCACTCATGGACGTTAACCTCAATGCTCCCTGCGAAGGCAAAAAAAAACAGCTAGGCAGCCCCGCAGCCCAGATTGTCGTGGAAGATTCTTAATTGTAAAAAAAAAATACCATGGGAGGAACCACGCTAGACCCTTTACCTGTGTCTGTAGAACCCTAAAAAAAAATCTCTGGGGGACGTCCTCTTACTTCCGTTCTGCAGTTCAAAAAAACTAAGGCCTGAGGGGGTCACGTGACCTGCGCTGCACCCAGCTAGGAGGTGATGGAGCTGAAACCAAAAAAAAAATCTGTTTGACACCAAAGCCTGGGCCCTTAACAGCTTCCTCACCAAGCCCAAAAAAAAACCAGCATGCTCCCAGCCCTTGTCAGCAGCAGGAGGCGAGCTTGGGTGTGGTTGTATCTTCTTCCTCATTTCCTCATGATTTCACCAGGGGAAGGTTTTGTGGTCTTCTTCTCTTGTTCCAGAAGTTCTTGAGTGTGGAGAGGTGTATGTGTTTTTTGTTGTTTTTATGGTTTTGGTTTTTGTTTTTGTTTTTTGAGATGGAATCTCACTCTGTCACCCAGGCTGGAGTGCAGTGGTGTGATGTCGGCTCACTGCAACCTCCACCTCCTGGGTTCAAGCAGTCCTCCTGCCTCAGCCTCCCAAGTAGCTGGGATTACAGGCATGTGCCACCACACCTGGCTAACTTAAAAAAAAATTAGTAGAGACAGGCTTTCACCATGTTGGCCAGGCTGGTCTCAAACTCATAAAAAAAAATGCTCTGCCTGCCTCGGCTTCCCAAAGTGCTGGGATTACAGGCATGAGCCACCGTGCCCAGCCGGTAAGTGTACTTTGAAAAAGCTCCCCCTTCAGCCCCCAGATCCTTAAAAAAAAATTCTTATTGATCTGTAGCAACTCTTTGTATATTTGGGACATTCACTTTGTAAAAAAAAATGCAAATGTCTTGCTCTCCCAGGACGGTTGTGATAAACCTGCATGCTCCTGCCTCTCGCTGAGAGCCACTGCTCTCAGGGGACAGTGTGCTCAGGTGTTCGTGATGCAAAAAAAAAAACGGTGGAGCCTGAGACCCAGCTCTGCCGCCACCACCATCTCTCTCAGTCCCACAGGCGCATGGCCTCGCTGGGGTGTCTTGTCTGCCATTGTTCTTCAGTTCCACTGAGTGACACCTCATTAGTCTCCGCCCTCTGGCATCCTCAGTTGTTTCTGCCTTCCCATTATACAAGATAAGTGGCTGTTTCCTCAGCACCGCCTGCTCCTTGCAGACGTTATCTGAAAATCAAAAAAAAAAAAAAGAATTTGCAGGTGTCTAATTAATATTCCTGGCACTGGAGTAGAAAAAAAAAAAAAGCTAGAGATCCAGTTGTTTTTTAAGTGAAAATGTGACCGTGATTTCCACAAAAAAAAATGCAGGGTACATGCTCACTGCAGCCTGCCGGGTCCCTCTTTGGGAGGTGGGCCTGCTGCTTCCCCTGCCCAGAAGATGCCAGTGGTTGGCTGCCTGGCAGCCGCCATACAAAAAAAAAGAGTTCTGCCTGTCAGATGGCCATACCCCCACCTGTGAGTGTCCACGGGAAGGGGGTCCTCTCCGTGGTCCCGATGGTGGCACCTCAGGTAGTCCACAACTCCTAGGCCCAGCTGCCTCCCTGGCTGCATTTAGAACTCTCAGGGTGATCACAGTCTCCAGAAAAACCAAAAAAAAAGTCTATTCACCTCTGAGTGAATGTGAACGTCCCAGACAGGCGGCCATGACAAAAAAAAAAATCCTAGCTCTAAACCTTCCTTGCCAGGGACCCTGGCCAAGGAGTTTACAAAAAAAAAGCCTGTGAAAAGGGGCTAATGATGTCTACACCTGCCTCATAGGTGTGTTTAAAAAAAAAGTGTAACCCCCTCCACCCAGATCCTGGCGCATTGTAACGACCTGTCTGTCGTTACAAGTATGTTTGGGGGAGCTTGGCGTCTGGCTGTGGTGAACTTCCCCACCCAGGAGCCAGGCTGTTTCTCAGTCCTGTGAGCCATCTCAGTGTCCTTCAATAACGCTTTAGAGTAAAAAAAAAAAGGTTTTATTCACTTGTGATGAATACTCTCAGTGTTTTGTAATTTCGATAAAAAAAAAAATGACTTCCCTCTCTGGTTCTTCCCTCCCTGCCCAGGTGACACTGAGGCCTGGTGGTTAAGAGCACGGGCTTTGGGTTCAGGAAGTCTAGGAGTCCACCCCGGGCTCTAAAAAAAAATGGTTGGTAACCTAGCCTCTCAGCTTTAGGTTCCTTATTTATAAACAGAAAAAAAAAAAGGAAGTTTGCTCCCAGGTTTGTTATAAGGATGAAATGAGATCATGAATGTTAAATGTTCAGCTCGGGACCCAGCACACATAAACCTGTGATAAGCAATAGCTTCTCCGAAAAAAAAAATCATTTCTCTAAAGGGCCTGGAGATGCACATTGAGATCAGGGCAGTGGGCAAAAAAAAAGCTGCAGGTCCTCCCTGCCTCCACTTCAGCAGCAAAAGTCGGGACAGAGGAAAAAAAAAGTTTTCCTGCCCGTCTCTAGAGGGCAGAGGACCTCAGAGGTGTTTGAGGGAAAAAAAAACCATTTTGAGGTCATAGAAAGGCAGACGAGGACACAGTGGGCCGCAGGACAAAAAAAAAGTACAT